AGCATGAGATATAGTTTAGTTATTCAGAGGTGGTTTCAGAAATGGAGTTTCTTGGTCCCAGTCTAATGTTTTTCGTTTTCTAAAAATGTGGTATATTAGGGTGCAGTGAAAATGAAGAATGTTTAAAAGTTTGTCTTACATAATCTTCAATTAAAATCCCGTATTTTATTTGAAATATTAGCATGCTATTTTTGTGATTTTGATAATATAAACTGAGGACTAATTAGGTTTAGAAGATTGTTGAATATGAAAACGCATTATTTAACAATTTTTAAGTGTGTTTATTTGGAGTCATCATAAATGGAGTGCTATTTTAGACTCCAATTTGTCAGAGCGGGCCTTCGACAAAAGGGAGTCTAAAATAGCACTCCAATTTTAGACGTTTGATCGGAGATTTTCATTGGAGACCCCAATGTATTCTTCGGAGACCCCGACCTTTTCATTGGTGACCCCATTTTTTTTTCGGAGACCCTCAGATTATCAAATTAGACCCCCCATATTTTCATTGGAGACCCCAAAAATGTTCCGGTCTCCAACGAAAATTTTAGGGTCTTTGATGTAAATATTGGGGTTTCCAATGAGACGTCCATGGGGTCTCCAATAATCCTCAGGGTGATGATATTTTCCCAGACAATTGTGTATTAATTTAATGTATTTTAAAAAAAAGTTTTTCTGGTGGCTTAAAATTCTCTCATAAAGTGAAATGGGTTGTTTTTACTGCGCAATTGCTGTGATTCATGTCATTATGAACTATTGTTAATACAAAACATGACAGTTGATGAAAAGTTTTGAATCTTCATAAATATAATGCATATTTGATATTAAAGACTTTTTTAAAGCTCATTTCGTTAAACAATTCTTTTACTCAAATATTTTTTACAAATTCTGGAAGAAGACATTTTAAACTATTTACCAATTGTCATGTTTCTTGAGATACCCTGTACAGCTACAATAGGACCTGCTTGAGGCACCCTGTACAACTACAATAGGACCTGCTTGAGGCACCCTGTACAACTACAATAGGACCTGCTTGAGGCACCCTGTACAACTACAATAGGACCTGCTTGAGGCACCCAGTACAACTACAATAGGACCTGCTTGAGGCACCCTGTACAACTACAATAGGACCTGCTTGAGACAAGGTACAACTACAATAGGACCTGCTTGATCAAAAGTCAGCGAGCCTTAACTTTGGAATTCATTTTCACACCATTAAATATAGATTTTTGAATTTGCCATTTCATATTTTATTTTGACTATTATATACTTTGAATTTTAATGTAGATATGTGAAATCATTTCAAGATATTTGAAAATGACTTTAGAAAATGGTGAAAATGAAATGACACAAAATTATCAAATAACGGAAAATGTTGACATTTTTGGCCCATTTTTGAAGATATAAACACTGAGAATTTTCATCAAATATCTCTTTTTTACAAAATAAAATTTTGAGTTTAATTTTTAAATGAAAAGTTTCGTCTTTAAAATAAATTTAGAATACCATCACGCTGTATGTACCCTTCTATATATAAATTTGGCTTGTCTGTCTGTTTGTCTGTCTGTTTGTTTTAATAGAAGATATATAAAGGTGTGAGAGTATTTAGATTTTTACATGCATTTACAATATCTGCACTGCATTTTATTCACCATTTTACGGGATTTACAGTTCGAATTTAAACCATTCTACGTCTCCAATAGTTTAAAGAACATGCTGAGCTGGAAACTTATAAATAAACTAAATGCGTTGAATTCATTTTCTCATCTTGAGGAGATTAGCCCTTCTTTTATCCGTCAAAAGTTTTGAGATCGGAGCTGAATACTTTAGAATGGGATATCCTTAATCCCGATTAGTTAATTAATCAGAGCTGAAAACTTTAGAATGGAAGTCGTCCACTTAATGGCTTAAACCACTCTTTTTCTTAATATCCAGTTTAAATATTGCTTGTTCTCCACATGAATTTAAACTCCAGAGAAGCTAATCCATCGGATATCTGGATATTTCATTCTAAAGTTTTCAGCTCTGGAGATTAATAACAAGAGGAAAACAAGCGTTATTTAATCTGGAGATTTGGAAAAAGAGGAGATTAATTAATCTAGATATCCACCATTCTAAAGTTTTGAGCTCAGACCGATAAGAGAATTATTGATTTTCCCGGAAGTTCCCAGGAATATGTAAAGTAAAATATAAACCAGCTTAACAAGCGTTATTTAGTTTATTATAATTATTTATTGTAGATAAGTCATTATTTTATATATTATTTTTAAATCAATTCTCAAAACGTATAAACCACCCAAATGGATGATTTTGAAAGTCGAATTTGCGCTCAAACTCAGTAATTATACATCATTAAAACATTTTATATGTCTCAAATGACTCCTAAAAATGTTCTCCACAATTCTACATTCTCAGTTCAAATACCATACATTGCCGGCCACTCCCTTAAAGTTAAGTAATGGCTTATCTAATGATTTGACAACGAAACAAACAAGTTTACAGTCGAAGGGAATCAAAACTGTAAGAAAACAGACATTATAAATTCCGAACATACACGTGCCTCAGAACTAGGAATATACGAAAAAAAAACACTTTAAAACACTATTTATGTTGAATTTTGACTTTTTTTTGATTAAATCCTGTTAAAAATGCATGAAATAATGTTAATTCCAAATTTGATCACTCCATATGGAACAACCTCGAAATATTTTTTTTTTGAAATTTGAGAATTTTTTCGTTTAAATTATGTAAAAAATGTAGAAATATTGCAAATTTCAATGTTGTTATACTCAAAAAGGGGCAAGAACGGGCAGCCAAGATGTTTTTTGAAGTATCTACATAATATGAAATGAGACTATGCCAGGCCCAGAGGCAGGGTGGAATTCAGTGGAATTAATTAGGTTTTGGTACAGAGAAGAATACCTAGAATTTTCGTTCTTCCGAGTTTTGACCCAAACATTGTTTTTTTTTCTTAAAGAAATACAAAAATGATTTTTTGCCCTAAAAAAAGCATTTTTGTATATTTAAAGCCAAACCATGCTTAAAATCATAGTAGTCAAAGTATATATGATGTTTGAACAGTCATTAAGGTCAAATAAAAGCATCAAAAATGCGTTGCGAAATTTGCGACAATTTTTTTTTCTTCATCTTTGTTACTAAAAGTGGACTTATTTATAATAAAGACAATATATGAGGCCATCAATCATTATTTTTTTTATATCCCTAGGTTCAATGCTTAACAAAAATGCAAATTTCTCTGAAGTCTCATCATTTGTTGGAAATATATGTTAACACTATGTGGATGTGCATATATGGCAGTTTATTGTAAAAAGAAATATCAACACTAATTAAAAGTCAGCATTTATCTTCATTAACTTCGGAATAATCCAAGTATAAAATATATTTATTTATATTTGTCTTATGTTCTTTATTAGTTTTCTACTGTCACCTTGTTTATTCTTCGTAAGACGATATTTTCTATAAACCAGAGCGTTATGTAATATGTATGTATGCATGTTATGTAACATATTAACATATTATGTAACAAATTAACATATTACCATATTAATATATTATGTAACATATTATGTACAATGTCTGTTTTTGAATATTTTGCATGTACAGTGGCTGGCGATTATATCAATACAATGAAGACGATTTTATATTTAAGTTTTTTCATATAACAAGTTTACAAGAAGTAAAAAAGAGCTGCTTTGAATTGACAGCTCCCTTGACTTACATGTTAATGTGTATCCGTGCTGTTTACCACCTTGATATAAATCAAAATTCGGCTTTATTGTATTGATATAATCGCGTACTTTCGCAGTACAAGGTCTGTACATAGTAAATTTGTTAAATCTGAAATGAGGAAACCAAAAAAAAAAAAAAAAACAAGGCTCAATCCGTGTTTAGTACCGAACTGAACTCTAGAGCCCTAGACTATTGAGCTTTTCTCTTTTTAAATGTTATACTTTTTACTCGTTATCTTAAACTGTAAAATTGTTTCTGCAGAAAGTAATTTATTCCATTTCATTTCTTCAGATTTTACCAAAACCCAATTTGGAAAGAAATAATGCACATGATACTTGCTTTACTGAAGCTATTTTTCCCCCGCACGCATGATGCATGGTGCACGTACTGGATAAAAATATTGCTATTAATTGTTTTTTTTTTCAGATAACTTTTAAAAATTCAAGATGTTCAGTCTGTTTTTTTCTAAGAAACGTCGAAATGATTTTGCATACAAAAGTATTATGTTTGTGAACATTTTGATACAAATTCCTAGCCTCAGCCTAGCAGACATCAGACCAGCCTGCCAATATACAGGGACATTTATAGATATAAGAGCTAGAAACTAGGAGCTAGCAGCTAGGAACTAAAGTTATGAGGAGCTAAGAGCTTGGAGCTAGAAATTTGGAGACAGGAAATAGGAGCTGGGAACAATTATAATCTAGGAGATAGTAACTAGAAATTTGGAGAGAGGAGATAGGAGATCGCAATTATAATCTTGGAGCTAGTAACTAGAAACCAGTACTTTTTTTGCGAAATTTCAAATTTTTTCGCGAAAAGGAATGAAGCGAAAAATGCGAAAAATGAAGCAAAATTTCGCAAAACATATTTTCGCAAAAATTACGCTGTTCGCAAAAATGTTCCGCGTTTTTTAGCGAAATTTTCGCATTTTCAAATATGCGAAAATTTCACATTTTTTTGCTAAACAGATTGAAGCGAAATTTCGCGAAAAAAGTGAAAATCTTAGCATTTTTCGCGAGCGAACGAAATGCGAAAAAATGCAAAATTTTCGCGAAACGATTATTTCTTTTCGCTGCAAACCTTAAACTAGGACTTATTAGCTAGGAGATAGAAGTTAGGAGCTAGGGGCTAGAAGCTTTACACTAGGAACTAGGAACTAGAAGCTAGGGGACTAGAAGCTAGAAGCTAGGAACTAGGAACTATGTATAACAGGACTGTTATATTAGATTGATATCTATATTCTTACTCAGATGAATCTCATTTCCTTCAAAACTTAGAGGCATTCTCTAAAACCAGGTAGATCTTCTAAATCTTTATTAAATGTTTTCCATCATAAATCTGCTTCAGTGTGATTAGACTTTCATTTTCTTCTCAAGAAATATTTTAATTTTTAACCCTATTCCGGTTTACCCCAACATAGACTTGGAGGGGTCATATTGAACCCCCCCCCCCCTGTATTTTCTAATTTTTAACCCTATTCCGGTTTACCCAACATAGACATGGTGGGGTCATATTGAACCCCCCCCCTTTATTTTCTAATTTTTAACCCTATTCCGGTTTACTCAACATAGACTTGGAGGGTTCATATTGAACCCCCCCCCCTTTATTTTCTAATTTTGATACGAATCTATAATAACATTTAATACGTTTTTAAAAAGTCCTAAAATAAAAACTTTACTATCTATCTGTTAGAATTATCGAACTACAAGGTTCCCTGGTGGACAAGGAAACAGATCTGACAGGTACTAAAGGGACTGTAAGCGTAATTTCAAGTGAACCTTCATGCAAAGATAGCAATACATGGACACCATTGAAACCTTAATCTGATCAAAAATATAGAAGGTATTGACTTGTAAACTGTTTATTTTAGTACACTTCTTAAAAACAAGTCTTTTACAGAGAAACCGCAACAAATGAAAATGATTATATAAACATTGATATCTAATTCCCACTTGATCAGACAAAGCTTTTTAGGGTACCGTTGTAAATTGGGCACTGTCCTCTTTGCATGGAGGGTCACTTGAAATTACGCTTACAGTCCCTTTAATCCATGGGTAAATATTGTAATACAGTGAGACTCCTACAACTGTGACGACTGTTTTGATTTTTAATACTCCAATGAAACACTGCAGTTGTACAGTTATACAGATCTATTTTAATTAGTAGGTTGATCTTTAAGCTTCTTCTTGAAATATTTGGTTTATAAAAAAATCAAATCTAATAAAATCAAATGCACACTAGAATTTAGAATTTTTTCCCCACAGTTTTATAGGTTTTATGGAAATTCATATTAGTATAGTTTGCTATTTTAAGTTTATTTTCATAGACTTAAAGAGCTTACAGAGGAAATCCTTTCAATTTAAACTCAAAACTTAATAAACTAATGTAAATCTCAAAATTAAATAAACTAATGTAAATCTCAAAATTTAATAAACTAATGTAAATCTCAAAATTAAATAAACTAATGTAAATCTCAAAATTAAATAAACTAATGTAAATCTCAAAATTAACTAAACTAATGTAAATCTCAAAATTTAATAAACTAATGTAAATCTCAAAATTAAATAAACTATAATGTAAATCTTAAAAGAAAAACGTGAGGCTGCCGTGTACAATGTACAATGTACATGCTGCAAAAAGCTTCCTTAATTTGTAGTCCCCCCACCCCCCCTCCTTTAACATATATGACCCTTTTAATATTTCTGGTTGGGAAACTTCGAGATTTATTATAAATTACAAACTGACATTTACTTTTATAATCTGTAGATCAACAATGGAGAGCTTTAGAAGAGCTAATTGAACCTAGAAAAAGGTAAAAATATTCTTAGAGCAAAATGTTTTAAACTGTGATAAAAACTCGATATTATTCTTCAAAGGTTTAAATTGAAAATACCCTTTCAAGTTGAAAGTTTTGCGGATTTTCATTTAATGGTAAAATTTGTCTGATATAAAATTCTTCATAAACTGAGCAGTTTACAATTTTGAAATCTCAATGAAATGTATAAATTCAATCGACTTTTTAAAGGGACCGTTCACTTATTTGGGTAATTTCATAATTTCAGGGTAAATTAACAGCCTATTCGCTCGTTATTGGTAATAGTCTTACCCTGAAATTACCCAAATAAGTGAACGGTCCCTTTAAGTAGATTTGTTGATGTACCACAGAAATCTGTGACTGTAACCAAATAAAAATAATCTGGATGTAGTTTTAGTCTTTCATTCAATGGTTTAATTGAATACTTTACTTAAACGCTATAAAATGTGCATTCAAAATGTGTGTTGAAATTTCATTAAATTAAAATTTTATCAATTACCAAAAATTATGAAAAAATCATTTAACCAAACTTTATACTTTTACAACACCTGTTTACTGATATTTTTAATCAAGAATACTTTGTACAGGATGAGACGGGATGGATATGGACATGAAGAAACTGTAGTTCGCTGCAAATCTAGTTATACAGGTATACAGGTATACAGGTATACAGGTATACAGGTATACAGGTATACAGGTATACAGGTATACAGGTATACAGGTATACAGATATACAGGTATACAGGTATACAGGTATACAGGTATACAGGTATACAGGTATACAGGTATACAGGTATACAGGTATACAGGTATACAGGTATACAGGTATACAGGTATACAGGTATACAGGTATACAGGTATACAGGAATACAGGTTTAAATTCTGCCAATTAAATTATTTCTTTATTTTCAGGTCTATTTTCCTTCTTTGCAATCCCACTGCTTCTAGGAAAAGTTTTATTCTATTTTTGGAACAGATTAGCAAAATATTAAATATATTTACAAATTATAAATTCCTGAAAATAATTGTTTTAATTAAATGAATAATTTAACTTTAGGAAATATGATGTTGACGTAAGTAATCTTTTGAGGATGAGGAAAAGGATAAAGAGGAAAAATAGGAAAAGAAAATAGAGAAGGAAGGAAGGAAGGAAGGAAGGAAGGAAGGAAGGAAGGAAGGAAGGAAGCCTAAATTTCCATAATCCAGGTTTATGGCAATGATAAGCATCAGTGTGAATGTTATGGTGACAGCTACAGCCACAACAACAGCTGTTGTTGTTACAAACAACAACACTAACACGAACAACAACAATAACAACAACAACAATAACAATGGAGGTATTTTAAGGGACTGTCGTTGTAGTTTAAAGTAACCCATTTAAAGATTCACAACGGTACCCCTGAAATCTTTATCTTATCTTGTCATTATCAATTTTAAAATTACATATATAGTCTGCCTTTCAAATAGAGATTAGCTTGTAATTACATAAATAGTCCGCTCTTTAAATAGAGATTAACTTAAAATTACATTTATAGTCCGCTCTTTAAATAGACATTAACTTAAAATTACATTTATAGTCCGCTCTTTAAATGGAGATTAACTTGTAATTACATATATAGTCCGCTCTTTAAATAGAGATTAACTTAAAATTACATTTATAGTCCGCTCTTTAAATAGAGATTAACTTGAAATTACATTTATAGTCCGCTCTTTAAATGGAGATTAACTTGAAATTACATATATAGTCTGCTCTTTAAATGGAGAAAAACTTGAAATTACATTTATAGTCCGCTTTTAAATGGAGATTAACTTGAAATTACATATATAGTCCGCTCTTTAAATAGAGATTAACTTAAAATTACATATATAGTCCGCTCTTTAAATAGAGATTAACTTGAAATTACATATATAGTCTGCTCTTTCAATGGAGAAAAACTTGAAATTACATTTATAGTCCGCTTTTAAATGGAGATTAACTTGAAAGTACATATATAGTCCGCCCTTTGAATGGAGATTAACTAGAAATTACATATATAATCTGCCTTTTAAATAGAGATTAACTTGAAATTACATATATAATCTGCTCTTTAAATGGAGATTAACTTGAAATTACATATATAGTACGCCTTTTAAATATAGATTAACTTGAAATTACATATATAGTCCGCTCTTTAAATGGAGATTAACTTGTAATTACATATATAGTCCGCTCTTTAAATGGAGATTAACTTGAAATTGCATATATAGTCCGCTCTTTAAATGGAGATTAACTTGAAATTGCATATATAGTCCGCTCTTTAAATGGAGATTAACTTGAAATTGCATATATAGTCTGCCTTTGAATAGAGATTAACTTGTAGTTACATATCTAGTCCTTTAAAGGAGCTGCAACTGCAATTTGAAGTTACTCTCCAATCTCCAAGTAAAAATGGCAATGTCCGATTTACAACGGTCCCATGAAAGCTTTGTCTGATAAAGTATGAATTAGATATGTTTTGTTTTCTCATTTGTGATTTCTCCGCTCAAGTGACTAGCGGATTAACTTACTTTTAACCCTATCCCTGCTGGGGTACTTTAAAACCAGTATACGCTGGGGGAAATCCCATGCTTGATGTCCAAATATAACAAATGATACATCATTGAAAAGCTCTTATGCCCCACTTTTAGGATCTGCAAAGAAATTGCAAATTTGCAAAAATTAAATTTTTTTCAAAAAAAATAAATGAATGTGTAATTAAAAAAAACAACAAAAAATTTCAAATTTCTTTTGACGGGTTGAATGCAAATAGTTTGCAAAAATTTCTTTTAAATCCGTTTCCTTATGTCATAGGCTTTTCAAAAAGCTAAAAATTATCAAAATCTGACAACTGAAAGTGGGTCAAAACAAAGATTTAGATTGAAACATGAAAAAGTAGTCATTCAGGCAGTGTGCCTGAGGACTCAGGAAGTAAGTATATAAACCCGGTTTTAGATTTATAGGGAGGGCTTTGGGTATTTAGAACAGCCTCAAAATTTTAGTTTCTTTAACATTTTCATTTTCATTTGCAGTTTGTACGCGAAAGTGAATTTCGCATTCCTTAGGGTTAAGAAGCAATGGAGAAATTCACCGAAATAAATACTTTTCTATAAGTCAGCTTTAATTATTAATATGTTGTAATGGCTCTAACAATGTTCACGTTTTAAAACATTGATATTGATAATACATAGATATACAAGAATATAGATCGCTAATGCAGATTGCAGACTGTATATCTTTGTGATAATAATAGATATTATGACAATTTTAAAAAGAGATAAATCAAGATTTTAAAAATTTACTTTTTCACAGGTGCACCGGCCCCGGCCCCGGCCCCAGCTCCCGCGGGTACAGGCGGTAACAACAACAACAACAACAACAACAATGGTCGCTCCTTCAACATCAGGAAAATATTAAATTCTGCATAAGAATATTTTCAAAATAATTTTCAGCTTTTAAATCCCAATTTTAGATTAAATTCTTAATCTTTTATGATGATTTTATATCAGAATTTGATAAATTGCTTTAGAAGAATTTTACTTGATTTATTCCCCTTAACTTTACCCCCCCCCCCCCCTCCACAGTAAAACAATTTTAATTTTACACTGTGTAGACCTGACAGACCATTCAACATTCAAGTCGAAAATCTTGACGACTTTAACCTTAGCGACGACAGCTTCTTTAAACCAGTCGCTATGATGACTAGTGGTGCCGACAGTGATGGCGACATCAAGAGAAAAATAGATTTTTTTCTCCAACATTTCCTTTTGAATTTAAATGGAACAAGGTAGGAACAAACAAAAAATTAAAGGGAGTGACCGGCAAGAAGGAAAGGGTTTTGAGATAAAAACGCGCTGCTATTCTAATGTGGTCACGTCGATTGCATAAACCCTAAATCTCTTCAATCATAACTCCTCTTATTTAAGAGCTGTTGAAAAGAGCAACAAATTGAATTTCTAATATAAACTAAAAGACTTTGCTCATTAAAGATAGCGCATTAGAAAATCTACGACGCAATTTCTCGGGTAGACAAAGATTGTAACTAATGTCGTCTTCTCCATAAATCCAGAATATATTTACCCTGTTAGCAAAGTCTTTTCATAAACTTGATTTTGTTAATACTCGTGCGTAAAATCCAAACTAGAGCAGCTACGAGGTCACAAAATCGCATAAATTTTACCTTCTCCTTCTCCATGACAAGTCACTCCCTGAAAAGCTCAAATAGCTGCAAAATTAATCTATTTTATCAATATAATTCCGCAAATCACCAACTTTTGCTTTGTTTCTTTTACCCAAAAAGTTTATATTGAAAGTAACATTAGAAATATTTTCAGAAATATGTAAATAAATACATACAGGAACTGTAAAGACAACCAGAAACTCTTAAAATATGACAATCTTATTTTTAAACTAAGTCTTATGCCTTAAAAACAGTAAATTTGTGGCTTTTGGAGAAAAAAGAAACACGTTTACAAACAGACAGTATAAAATCCGCACAGGCGCCTCTGAAGTCTCATTCTTTTTGGGTAACCCTGTATAATTCAATTTATCTTTTTCAATAAAGATATATTAGAAAAGTTTTGCTTTATGTATATTGAGTAGTGGGGAATATTCTATATTTAACTGACCCTGCTGGATGACTAAAAAATCTGTAAATTTTTTTCAATATAATTGATTCTGGTAAAATCATTTTTCTTTCTGCCCCTTTTAAGGTTACCGGGCGTATGGGACTTCATATAGATATTTTGTCCTTGTGGTACAAGACGTCCCAATTAACATCGAAATTAAGAATTCAAATTGTCTTTAATCTTTCGATGTTTATACCTTAATTTACATATATAAATGTTAAAAACATGAAATCCATTTTTCTATCATCCTTTCATTAAGAAAGCTGTTCTTGTCGTTAAAATGTCATATTATCTTCAGATGTTTCCAGATTCCAGATATATATTTTATTCTAGAAAGTTTTTAAGGTTATATTTGATACATTCATAAAAATTGTTGTCTAGATTGTTGTCATATACAGGGTCTTCCACGAAACATGACAGTATGCAAGATGACTTAAATATCGTCTTGATTTTTGATATAATTTGCTGCATTTATTTTTCAACCTAATTTTAGATGTAAATTTCTAGAGATAATAATCACAAAATTCCCCTAGTCCTGCCATTTCCAAAATGTGGTCTGCATTTTTTGTGCTTTCAAAATTGCCCGAGATATGAACAATTTCGTTCAAATTTCGACAATTTTGCTTTTATTTAACAAAATTGAAATCTGAACCAAACTCTTTATATCTCCAGCACAAAAAACGCACACCACTTTTTGGAAATGCCAGGGCTAGGAGAATTATGTGATAATTGTTTCAAGAATCATACAGGTTAAAGTAGATAGAAGACTAAATGTCAAAAATAAATTCAAATATCAAAGACGACTTTCAAGTCGTCTTGCTGTTGTCATGTTTCGTGGGACACCCTGTACTTAGATCGTTGACATTTCTTTCTTGTTGACATTTCCATATTGTTTGACATTTCCCTTTAGCAGATTGCAGACATTTTTATTTCGCTGACGTTATGTCTAGAAGCTTGAGTTCTAGGTAATTTTTGACATTTTTTAAAAAGTAGCATCATTTTTAAGGGCATTTCTAGATCGATTCTATCTGTAAACTGATCTTGAAGCTCATAAAATGAGAAATTATTTCAGGGGTTTGGAAAATATGACAAAAGATGACAAGCTTAACAAGATCAATCCAGATGAACAGCTGACTCCAGATAAACAGCTGACTCCAGACACTCCACTGACTCCAGACGAACAGCTGACTCCAAATGAACAGCTGACTCCAAATGAACAGCTGACTCCAAATGAAAAGTTGACTCCTGATTGGTTGGTTGAATGGGATAGTTCAGATACAGAAAACTTAAATGACAGGAATCATTTAGATATTCACTAAAATATTTCCTTTAAGAATTCAGTTGGATTTTCAAAGGAATTGAGGATTTTCAATTCACTATATCTCTGGAAACTAATGTCGTGGACATTAGATATTTCAAACTATGAACCCTGTTGGATTAAATATTCAAAGTTTGAAATATCAAACGTTTACGTTATTAGGTTGCAAGGATATAGGGATACAAAATCTTATGTTTGTGGCAAAGACTCAATTCCTTTATTGGTAAATTTATTTTTTCATTTCATAAATGAAGATTTAATATAGCTTAAAGGGAATTTGGACGATGTTTTAAGTGACCCCCTGCAACTTGTGAGTGTCTGTGTCGGTAACCTACTGTGTCTAGTCGAGATCGTTACAGAAATATTAATTTCTTTAACTGTCAATTGAGTGCTGATTCTGCTGATGAATTTGACCGCAAAAACGCTTATATTTGAAAACAGCTTTGTATGTATAAAGCTAGAATTACAAGACAGAGAGAGCCTGTTCTACGCCGACTGCCCGAAACTCCTTTGGGCTTCTGCCGCAGGGTTAAAGTGAACGAGTTTCATCCAAATCTTGAAAAGACGACATCTAGTGTCCTATCTATTATTTTAATTAATCTATTAGGAGGAATTTCAATTCAACATGAATAATATTCTCTAGCAAAGTTCTCTCATAAGAAATATACTTGACAAAAAATTTTTTAAGTCAATTCCTCATTCGGCATATTTGGTAAATATACTTTCCTACCGGAGAAGTAAGACTCGGCGTCTCAATACCATTAAGAAAAAAAACCGCCTAATATTCTTGTTTCAAAACTGACCCCCCCCCCTGGCAACTAAGTAGATCAAATGTTGACAGGTATATTTAAATAAATGCGTTACAGTGTGCTTACAAAAATTCAACATCAGCCTGCAAATAGAAGGTAAACTTTAAGAAAATAAAAAGAAAACACATAATACAGTGAAACCCTTAATTAAGAATACATCGGAAGAATTTATCAAATGTCGTCTTGACAATTTTTCAATGAGTTGTATACTGTAAGTATGAGTTTTAAAGGGAGTGACCGGCGGCAATGTATGGTATTTGCACTGAGAATGTAGTAATGTGGAGAAATTCTTTAGGAATCATTTAAAACATATGAGACGTTTTTACGGTGCATATTTTTTTTCAGCAAGAGCGCAAATTCAATCTTTAAAATCCTCATAGATTGTTCATTTTGAAGGATGATTTTGAGAATCGGGGTTTAAAAAACTATTCATTAACGACAACTAAACATGGAGTAAAAATTCTACAGTAAACCAATCAGTTGTTTAGGAACAGGTTAAGAAAATAAAAATTAACTATTGTCATCGAAAATAAGTAATCTTATTTAGTTATTGGTTTCTATAATGTCTCATTGTTCACTAACGTTTTCTGTAGATTTCCTAAAAAGTTTTATTGAAAAGAATTTGAAGAAATCGGTGAATAAATTCATAAACAATAAGAAATTCAATATAATGCTGAAAAAGAAATAAGTGATATTAATATTCCGGCAAAAATTATTTAATTTTTTGACAAAATTTCAACATATTACTAAACATCTAATTAGTTTACTGTATGTAGAATTTTTTTACGTTTTTGTCTCGTTATTCAATAATTTTTAAAAATTGATTCTCAAAACATAATTAACCACTCAAATGGATGATTTTAAACGTCGACTTTGCGCTCGAAACTCAGTAAATATACATCATTAAAACGTTTTATAAGTCTTCAATGAATCCTAAAAATGTCTCCAAAATACTACATTCTCAGTTATACTACCATACATGCTGGTCACATCTATTAAAGACGACTTAAAAGTGTGCACTTTTTATTGTTTACATAAATATCCCTAGAACGGGATGGTTCATGTGTTGTACCGTCCCGTTTTGTCTCATTTAGTTTGCTCTAGCTTCTTAAAAGTCGGCCTTGTAATTGAAATGAACCGGATCCGTTTACAGTGTATTGAGTATTGGTTTCAGGGTTCAGTTTCAGGGTTCAGGGTTCAGGTTTCATGTATCATGTTTCATGTTTCAGTTTTCAGGTTTCAGGTTTCAGGGTTCAGGTTTTAGGATTCAGGGTTCAGGGTTCAGGGTTCAGGTTTCAGGGTTCAGGGTTCAATTTTCAGTTTTCAGGTTTCAGGGTTCAGGGTTCAGTGTTCAGGTTTCAGGGTTCAAGGTTCAGGGTTCAGAGTTCAGGGTTCAGGGTTCAGGTTTCAGGTTTCAGGATATCTCCATTATGTAGGATTTGTCAAAGATTTGACGGGGCAGTAAACCGGAAATGAAACTAAATGGAGGCTCACATGAGACTGTGTTCACAATTCCTTTAAATGTTTTCTTCATTGAATCTATTTTCATTAAGAACTGACATCGCCTACTGTTTTAAAGGCAATATATTTTTCACCTGTTATAAATTACATATTTAGCCTTAATTTCGTGCCGGTACTATCGCTTAGCCGTCATTCTATGGTATACCACGCAATAGACTTGTTATAACACGCAGCTAGTTAAGGATTTCAAAATATTCAGAATAAAAATCGCGATATTTTTTAAAGATTTTTTTAAATAAGAAAATTAAGTTATATATATTTTTGTAACCTGATGGCGTAAACCTTTCATATTTCAAACTTTTTTAATAGAATTCATATTTTGAAATATTAAATGTCTAAAACATCGGGTTGCAAAGAAATAGGGATGAGAAAATAAGTTAAGTTCGAGAAATATTTATGATTTTTAAATGAAATAAAAATAATCATATTTAAGAAGAAATGCTTAAAGACACTTATGATGATTATTTAATGAAAAATAGTCTAAAAAGGGTCTCAAACACCATGTTTCTATTTGGATAGTAAAGTGAAATTTCTTGTTTGCACTCAATATTAAAACTGATGACTGTTTGCAGAAGATATAATTCTGTTTGTTTTCAAACAGAATTTTTACAGATTTTCATCTAAATACATAGTTTCTTTTATCTTCCTTGACGTTAATAAACATATTTTGTTTCGCATTAAAGCAAGAATACAAAAACATAATGCAAATATACTCAAAAATATGGCTTTCAAATGAAGAGTGTTTATCTAACTATTTTTATCAAAAAAATTCTTTTTAACTATATCTATTATCTATATATAATTAATATCTAAATGTACATATTTGATATCTATATGTACATATTTGATACAAAAAAAAGTTAGCTAAGTTGATTACAAAGCTAATGTTGTACTTTCTTTGTTTTTGTTTTATTTTAAAGTCGTTTATAAGAATGTTTACTTCAATTTCTTATCTTAAAACTGGAGATTTTAAAAACGCTGCAGACTTAAATCAGTCCTACTCAAGGATGCATCTCAAACTCTTTTCTCTTCTTCTGGTTCAGGGGACTGGAGTACTGAGCATCAACTGGGAGAACATTAAACCAAAATATCCAACTGTAGAACCCGTAGATCTTAGTTCCCTTGATGAGCATGTTCTGCAGAACATTATCCAGATGGGACCTCCAGCTGCAGAACAGTATCCAGGATATAAGAAAGGAAACAACGTGTTCTCTGATGTGTGTGGAAGACCAGCTAAGGATGAAAGGATAGTTGGAGGAGAGGAGGCTACCCCACATACTTACCCATGGATGGCAGCACTGTTTGTTGACGATTCTTGGTTTTGCGGTGGATCCCTGGTATCCGATGAATGGGTTCTTACTGCTGCTCATTGTGCTCATGATGCCACTGAGATGGTTGTTATGCTTGGAGCTCACAATGTCAGAGAAGCATCTGAAGAAGGAAGAATTGAGTTGACAACTAGAGATTTCTTTACTCATCCCAAGTACAGCACCATTACACTGCATAATGATCTTGCTCTTGTTCATCTTCCAACTAAGGTTAACTTCACCTCTAATATTATGCCTGTATGTCTTCCATCCCACTCTGAAGCTGAGGAGGTGTGGGCTCATGAACTAGCAGAGGCTAGTGGTTGGGGTAAACCTAATGACGAGGCGACCTCCATCAGTCCAGTACTGAGACATGTTGATGTTGATACAATCACCAACCTGGCCTGCGCTCTACAGTTCCCCACTGTTGTCAATAAGAACATTATCTGTATATCAGGAAAGAATGGGAAATCAACTTGTAACGGTGATAGCGGTGGTCCTCTTCATCTAGTCACTGATGGTGTTTACAAGCAGATCGGAATAACCAGCTTTGGTTCATCTCTTGGATGCGAGATTGGTATGCATGCTGGATTCACTAGGCCAGCTTCTTTCCTAGAGTGGATTGAAACTGAGACCAACATTCAAATTGATCCTTAGATCAGGCTGCAAATCTTTAAATTTGAATAGCATGGTGTATAGTAAACCTTGTATTATTTTCAAATAAATGATTACAGTTCTTTTAAATAGATAAATGTTAAGAAAGCTGAAATGGTTGAATTTTACTTGTATAATCCACAATTGTACGAATGGTTTTCGTCAATTACTATTTTAAATACAACTGCTCTTGTCTTAGGTTATCCATAATTATTTATTTTAAGGCTTCCGGATTTAAGAATGACCCTACAGCCTTGAATAGAGATGGGCATAGTTTTTTTCAACAAACGAAACTTTTGAGAACAAACGAAATTTGTCATGAAAAACGGTGTTGTTCAGGAAAAAAAACCAACGATGGATGAACAAAATGAAAAAAATTTCGTTTTTTAATAACGAACAATAAAAAACAAACGATCTAAAATTGTTCTAACGCACTTGAAAAGCAATCGTTTATTTTACTTTCAGAACGATTTTTTCGACCAAACTTTTAAAGAAAAAAAAATGAACAAACGATTTACTTAACAATCGTCCAGTGAGAAAACGAACGAAATAGATGGAAAATGAACAATAATTTAATAACACAAGAAATCCATTTTCAACGATTAAAAAACTAACCAAATGGATTGTTTATGAACGATGGATGAACGAATAAAAGAAAGTCGAACGTGTCCATCTCGACACCTAGCCCTAGTTGGCTCTAAAAGGTTATCTTATTAAAAATCATTAGTGTGTGTGAGTAAAAGAAAGAACATGAAAATTATCAAATAACTTTTCAATAAATCCAATGGTTGGGGGCATTTTTATAGGTTATTCCTTAATCCTAACGTATAAAAGTATTTACTTGAATATTTGATCTGAAACTACTATGAGTTGGCAGAAGTAAAAATCAAAAGAAGTAATGGAACATTTTCTATACAATAGGACAGAAGTTATGTCATTGCTTTAACAAGGAGGCAATAAAACTCTTTTCAATATAGAAATAAAATAAAAGGGAATGTTAGAGTTATTTCAAGAGCGCCTCCATGCAAAGATGGCAATGCCAGATTTACATCGTTTCCATCAGTTAAAAACTTTGTCTGATTAAGTATAAATTAGTTACAGGGTGTCCCACGAAACATGACAGTTCTTCTTCCATTATGTGTTAAGTTGTTTGATACCAAAGAGCATAATAAAAAATATTGTATGGGAGTCATCTTAAAGTAAAATTGATTTCAAAGTAAAATATATTTGAGTAAAAGATTTTTTAAACAATATAAACAAAACTGTCTTCAATGTCTAATACAGTATATGGAAGAAGACATTTAAAACTATTCATCAACTGTCATGTTTCGTGGGACACCCTGTATCCAAGTTCTTTGTTCCTTAATATTTTGTTCCATTTGCAAGAACTACACACTAGTCTACGGTATCTTCCACATTTTTGATCAGATTAAGGTTTCATGGTGGCCGGCGGTGTAAAATCAGGCATATGCTATCTTTACATGAATGGCCACTTACCCCTACGCTTACAAGTCCCTTTAATAACCCAACATTAACACATTGCTATATACATTAACTAGTTACTTTTTCTTTACAGCTTGGATGGAGTTATGTCTCAGGCTGGACAACATTTTATTTGAAAATTTACCGCTATTTAAAAAAAAATCGTAACGAAAAATTTAGAAGAGCAAACTTTACGCCAAACAATGCAAGATTCATTAATTCCTATGTTGAAATAGCATGCAAAGCAAGAACAAATAATTATATATCCAGAGTTTAGTGTCTACCTCTCCCTAGCTGATTATATATCCAGAGTTTAGTGTCTACCTCTCCCTTGCTGATCATATATCCAGAGTTCAGTGTCTACCTATGCCTTGCTTATTAAATATCCAGAGTTTAGTGTCTACCTCTCTCTTGCTGATTATATATCCAGAGTTTATTGTCTACCTCTCCCTTGCTGATTATATATATCTAGAGTTTAGTGTCTACCTCTCCCTTGCTGATTATATATCCAGAGTTTAGTGTCTACCTCTCTCTTGCTGATTATATATCCAGAGTTTAGTGTCTACCTCTTAATAGCTGATTATATATCCAGAGTTTAGTATCTACCTCTCCCTTACTGATTCTATATCCAGAGTTTAGTGTCTACCTCTGCCTTGCTGATTATATATCCAGAGTTTATTGTCTACCTCTCCCTTGCTGATTATATATATCTAGAGTTTAGTGTCTACCTCTCCCTAGCTGATTATATATCCAGAGTTTAGTGTCTACCTCTCCCTTGCTGATTCTATATCAAGACTTTCGTGTCTACCTCTCCCTAGCTGATTATATATCCAGAGTTTATTGTCTACCTCTCCCTTGTTGATTATATATCCAGAGTTTAGTGTCTACCTCTCTCTTGCTGATTATATATCTAGAGTGTCTCAGAAAATGAGAGATGAAGAATTGGCGAGGAAGTATTTTGGAAGTTGAGTTGGGGAGGGTAGCTTGAGACGGTAGGATATATATAACCAGAATTATGATGTTCTCTCTCTCTAATGAATCGATGTGGTTGCAAATTAAAGAAGTATATTGATCAGATCTGGTCACATAAAGAATATAGGGTTCTTTGCACTCGCTTTGACCGCAAGGGTGGTACGCGGGTCGAACAGTTCTTTTCTTCTTTGTAGGAGTTACATCTTGAATCCTTCCTCTTTACTGGTTCTATAGAGACTGTGTCTAGCCTGCTTTGTGATTGCCAGATTCAGGGCAAATCCAAGGATGGTAAATTTGATAATAAAAACTATTTTAGGCATAAAATAGATGTAAAAGTAAAAACATGAAAACATATTAATAACTTTTGTTGCAAAGGGTCTAAACATCCCTTTAGCTAGGCTTAGTATACTACTGCATAAAAACATGCACACAGGATGATTTTAGACTGGCTTGCTTCTTTCATATATTTCTAAAATTCATATTTTCTTGTCATTTGTCGTAAATGAAGCATGATATAAAAAGTCTATATTGTCGTAACTTCCATGTAAAATCCAAACTATTGGGATCCCAAACAATTATCAACTAATGTCCAAGATATTGGGATTGGGCTTGGTTTGGGAATAAGGTATGAGAATGAAATAGGACCAATTGGGAGTAGGTTAAAATAGGTTGGGAATTGGAATGGATATCAACCGAGGAGGAAGTTGGGATGGGATTCAATAAATGTTTGGATGATAAAAAAGGTTAATAAAATTGGGAGTTGGAGTAATTGGAAAGATTGAGTAATGAATAGAGATGTTTTATGGGGACCACTGTACTAGAATAGAATAAGCAAAATATTGAAGATTAGTATAAAGATACAGATATAATAAAATACGTGTATAAAAACTATGGAAAATGTTAAATAGGGATGAAGACGACATTTTGAAAAGAATGAACGAATTATTGTCAAGTTAGAATGAGAGAGAGAAAAGGATATAAAAATCGTCTTTAGAATCATTTGATAATCCGATTCAAAAGTTAAGTGTCTACCTCTCCCTTTCTGATTATATATCCAGAGTTTATTGTCTACCTCTGCCTTGCTTATTATATATCCAGAGTTTAGTATCTACCTCTCCCTTACTGATTCTATATCCAGAGTTTAGTGTCTACCTCTGCCTTGCTGATTATATATCCAGAGTTTATTGTCTACCTCTCTCTAGCTGATTATATATCCAGAGTTTAGTGTCTACCTCTCCCTTGCTGATTATATATCCAGAGTTTAGTGTCTACCTCTCCCTTGCTGATTCTATATCCAGACTTTCGTGTCTACCTCTCCCTTGCTGATTATATATCCAGAGTTTAGTGTCTACCTCTCTCTTGCTGATTTTATATCCAGAGTTTAGTGTCTACCTCTCTCTTGCTGATTATATATCCAGAGTTTATTATCTACCTCTCCCTTGCTGATTATACATCCAGGGGGAAAAAACTTCTATTGGATGCAATATAAGTTGCAGATTAGAGTTGTGTTCAGGGAAAACCATGTTTTGACAAAACTAATTAGAAGTTAGATTTAGCATTAAGCAATATTCATTTTCAAGGTTGAAGCTCGGTAGAAATAGTTATATTGTGCGCAACGATAGCGGTCACTTCTGCAGCTAATTAATTGGGTTATGCAGAATTGTGCTTTGATTGCGTACAGCAAAAATAGTGGTTTTTGATTTAAGGTCATCTCCAATATTATAGTGACAAATTACGTTTACCAGAGCTGGTAAGGGCTCAGTAACATCTCGCCATATAACATTTCGCCATTTAACAACTCGCCATATAACAACTCGCCTAAGTAACAACTCGCCATATAACAACAACTCGCCTATATTTAAATTTTTGAATTAAATCGTATTGTAAATGAAATTGTACCAGAAAATTTACAAATCAAAAACCAAAAATCCGCAAATACAGTAATTCCAACAATGTTGGGAGTACTGCACGCATCCACAACTCAGCGGGGGAAACCATCGTTGGTTTACATAAACAACTTCTCCTACACTAAATTTAAATCTACTTTTATAGGAGCTGAACAATGTTTCATAATTTTATATAACTATAAATATTTACTACTAAACTACTAATAAACTACTACTTTCTACTAAATAAATGTTATTATTTTGTTTTTGTTTTCATATAGCGAGTTGTTGTTTTATCTCGAAATGTTATATGGCAAGTTGTTATATGGCGAAATGTTACTTAGGCAAACTGTTATATGGCATGATGTCACTGACCCTGGTAACTTTGATTTTTGATATTCATAATCTCGTCCCTCGATCTAACATTTATATCTTGAGTACCCACTTCAGCATAGATTAGTTAATATATCTTTACTTTATTTCTAACTGAGATTATTTTATTCAACAATATTTTGAAATATAAAGAGGTTAGAAAATCAGAGCAAGCGGCAAGCTCAATTCCTTTATTAATAGATGACGTTCATAGAGGATCAAATATCAATATATTGATTTAATCTAGATTCTTAATCAAATCAATTTTCATGCAGATTCCTAGATTAATTTTGTTTGATTCAAACTTTATAAACGAATTTAGGATATCCTGTAAACCCTTTTTTTTGGTTTGGATTGATATTTGTAATTTTATCTAGATATATTCTACATCTGTATCAACATCTCCAACAACAGCTTACAGAATTAAAATGCGAAAAATCAGGTGTGTATATCAACAACCAACAACAACAACAATTAAACATAAAAATAGCAACAACAACAATACAGAAAACGTACGGCAACCACTAAACTGTATCAATACAACTTCATTTGTTACATACAAGTAGGGATGTTAACGTTTTCATTTTTCAGAAAAACGATCGTTTCGTTATGAAAACGACGACGAAAAATCGAAAACGAAACGATTGTTTTTAAAAACAATCGTTTTTTTGAAATTCGTTTTTTAAAAATGGTCGTTTTTTAAACGATCATTTCGTTAACAATCTTTAACGAAGAGAGGAAACCGACCTGAAGGGCATCTGCACTTATCATTTGAGTAGTTTTAAGAAAATATCAAGGAGTTCTAACTCCCCCACAACTGTTAAACTTCAAGTAAGACGACAATCAATAAAGTTGCATGTAATTTTTTTCCAAAAAAGACCGTTTTGATAAAGTTCGTCGTTTCGTTAACGATCGTTAACATAATTGTCAATAAAAATTTTTTTCAAAAATGATCGTTTTCAAAAACGATCGCTATTCGTTTTCTAAAAGTTCAAAACGAGTGGGTCGTTTTTAAAAACGATCGTTTTTTCCGAAAATGAAACGATCGTTTTTAAAAACGAAACAAAAAACGATCGTTTACAAAAACGATTAACTGTCAAGAACTTAGTTAGTGCCACAAACTCAGATTTGTTAATCCCCATATGTTTGTAACCCATGAATCTAGTAGATCTTTGATAATTTAAACTATGAATTCTGTTAAATCAAATAATGTAAAGTTTAAACCATTAGGTTGCAAAGATAAAGTGATCAGAAATTTTGTGATTCTTGATCAAATTTTTAAAATAATTATTATAAAATATATTTAGGTGTTTTAACTCCAGGTTGCATAATGGAATCCCTTCTTGAACGCAGTTTTATATAAAAGTGTATTTTGTGAAAAAGAATAAAGTAATTTTAAACTTTTGTTTTGTTTCTCTAAACTTTTCTGAGGAATTAAGAAAAATTTACATTTCAAACGTAAATATTTAATTTGCAATGCATTGTTGTCTTTTCTTTTTAAAACATGAACATCAAAGATAAAAAACAAGTTTAATTGTTTTATCAAGAATTGTGTTGCAAAAATAGTGGAATTATAAAATCAGAGATTAAGTTCGAAAAAATAGTTTGTTTTGTAAAAAACTATAATTTTTTAAATAGTTTGTTCCTAAAATTCGTTTCCTCGGTAAAAAAAAAAACGATAGTTTTTCAAGTTCATTCGAACGATTTTAAATTGTTCATTTCCGTGTCTTTTTTTTCGTTCTTAAAATAATTTTTTCATTTCTCTGAACGATCCATTTCATTCGTCCATGGTTCATTTTTTTCTGACCGAAACCTTTTTTTCGCGAACAATTTCGTTCGTTCAATAAACAATGTCTATCTCTACCTAGGGCTAAAAAAAGTGAGATAAATCCGACCAAAGCCGAAGTCGTTTCGACGATTTTAAGTCGAATTTTTATAAATAACTCTAAGTTTTTTAATTAAATTTATATTGAAGAAATCGATTACATGTAGTCCTGCGGTTAGTACAGAGCGCCGCAGCAGTCAATGATGTGAACATAACTTAGTTAAACTAATTTAAAATATTTAAATTATATAATTTTCTTTGCATTAAATAGATTTGGTTGAAGTTAGAAACCCAAAATATTCTTAGTAACTTTGTTTTCCTTTGATCCTTCAGAAATGAGAGATATTAAATTGTATACAGGAGGTGCATATAAACCAGCTTTAACCAACATAAGAATATTATTTAACTATTGAATGGACTTTTTTCAATTTTAACTTCAAACTTCTACAACGCTTTTAAAGTCACTCTTTTTCTAATTCGACCCCTGCACGGTTCTTTTGAAATCTAACAATAAAATTAATTCCTTCAATTTTTTCCGGAGTTGCCACATTACGTACAGAATCTTGGTTTTAACATGCAAAGTTTCTAAAAATTTAAACGATTTAATCTTGAAAAACCTCAACTCGAGGTTATGCACGATCCAATATGATGTGGGACACCCTGTATCTATTGTAGTTGGATCCAATATGATGTGGGACACCCTGTATCTATTGTAGTTGGATATACTTTCTAAAAAAGCATACAATCAAAATAGAAAAATAATTATTACTTAAAATCTAAATATGATTTGCTTGGATGCAAAGAGCTTGAAAATTTCTATAATAAAGGAAATATTTTTCTAATTTATAAAACAACAAATTTTTTGTATAACAGGTGTGCTAATTTTGATGTTGTATCCTGAGCCCGTTAAACTGCCTATAGTAAATTTAACGTACAGGGTGTCCCAAAAAACATGGGAATTCAGTGACGAATTAAATATCGTCTTTGTTATAAATTAGCATTGTAATACCTGATTTAAAAGACAAAATATTATTCTGGCTGCTAGAGTTTATGTTATGAAAACGGTAAATGGCTGTAAAGATTTGTCTATAATGTCTCCGCAAGATGAAAATGTGAAGACTGACAAGTTTACTCTTTTTGTATACTTTAATTTTCTTGTTTTACTTCATCATTTGCAGTCAAAACATAAACAAACAAATTGTAAACATAGCAGAAAAAATTCTTGAGGATTACAGCTTTCTCAGTAGGTATCACTATACTAAATCAAAGTATTATTTATGAAGACGATATCGAATTCGTAACTGAATTCCCATGTTTATTGGGACACCCTGTAGGATTGAAATTTTATATGTTATCTATCAGAACTCCATATATTAAAGTTTTCTATCAGAACTCCTTAAATTGAAGTTTTCTATCAGAACTCCTTATATTAAAGTTTTCTATCAGAACTCCTTATATTGAAGTTTTCTATTAGAATTCTTTATATTAAAGGGACCGTTCACTTATTTGGGTAATTTCAGGGTAAACTAAACAGCCTATCAGCTATTCATCGGTAATAGTCTTACTTTTTAAAGACAT